GTCTAGCATCTGATTCTCTTAACAATTTTGGACAAATAGCCAATCTCTAACACACAAGCTAAAAGTGCGAGATACTCATTTCTTCTGCTTCCCTTGCAGCTAGGTGTGAATGCATGACCTGGCACAACTGACCATGCAGCCCTGTCCTACTCTGAGTCTGAAGGTATGAAGGAAGGAACAGGGACTACATGAGAGCATTTTGCAGCTGATGTGGCAGATGCGTTCTAACCCTGACCCCTGAGTCACAGGCCGTGCAGAGTGACCACTGTGTCTCCATGGAGCCCTTGCACACAGTACAATCACGGGCACCATTCCTACTTGTGTGACTCCAGGGGTGGTGCTCAGATCCTTCCAGAGCTTCTGGGGGCTCCTTGCTCTTTGGCTGAGTCACCTCCTCTTTTTGGCAAGTGCACCCCTTTCTTCATTTGGCTGACTCCTGAAAATGCTTTTAAATTGACCTTTAGCATTATCTCTCCCAGGAAGTCTTCTTTGACATATCCTTTCTTCCAACAGATTATTTAGACTTCTTCACATCATGGACTCTACTGTGGTTTGAATTCTGTCTCTTCAAAATTCTATGCTGACACTTAGTTGCCAGGGCTAGTGTACTGGGAGGTGTGGTCTTTGGGAGGTCATAAGGGCTCGGCTTCTTGAATAGGATTAAGTACCCATATAAAAGGCTTTGCCAGAGGGAAATCATTCTTTTTCACATCCTGACTTCTGCCATATGAGAACAATGCTCCTCCTCTGAAAGGACACACCATCCACGGCACCATCTGGAACCAGAGGGCAGCCTTCACCAGATATCAAACTTGCCAACCCCTTGATCCTAGCCTCTATAACTGTGAGCAAATATAGTGACATTCACAGGTTCTGGAGACCAGAATGTGGACATGTTCAGGGCCATTATCCAGTTTACCTCCGCTCTAGATCAGGTATTGCATATATTTCTATACACTAAATCATTAGCTTTCCCTCCCTAAAACACTGTGCTTCGAATTGCACCCACAAAGCTCTCTTCTGTGTGACAATGTCTTAGAAGAAATTATTCTGATCTTTCAGACATTAAAACCGCTGCTGTGGCTGGATATGCTTTTTAACCCCCAAAGGTGCACATACTACAAGCTGGGCTCTGATATAGTCATACTGAGAGGTACTGGGACCTTTAAGAGGTGGAGTCTAGTGGGATTCGATTTTCAGAGGCACTACCCCCATGAATGCATTAACGTCTTTCCCAAGAGACTAGATTCCTTCTCTTGAGACTGGATCAGGTCTTTCAGGAGTGATTTAGTGAGTTAGGTCTCATAGGACTGGATTAGTTTCCATAGTTACCATTGGAAAGAAAAACAAGCTAGGTTAACAATTTTGTCTGGTTTGGGGAAGGCACAGAGAGATATGCGGGAGGATGGACATTTTTTTATATCTTAATCTGAGTGTCGGTCACACAAGTATTTACTTCATAATTATTTGTTAATCTGCACATATAGGTTTCATTATTTATGATTTTTATTTAACTTTTCAGCTTGGAAATGTTCAGCCATTTCCTAAATTGGAGACAATAATACAATAAAACCAACTGCAATGGTTATCCATATTTTATTTTTCCTTCACTTATGTTCGCCTCCTACTCAGATGTAGGGAGTGGATGGGGTAAAGCCAATTTCAGGTGTAACACCACCTTACAGACACAGACTTCAGTATATATAGTCATTTTACTCATTTGCTATGGATATAACACACTGAAAGGGAGAGCATGGGGCTGCTCTTGCAGGCAGAAATCCCCAGTAGAGAAGATACTGTGTGTCGTGGCCATGTGCCAGCAGGAGGCCTGTTTCAGGGTGGAGGAAGAGCTAGTAATGCCAGCGGCTCTCTGCTCCATCTTGGAAGCCACAGTTGTGCTTCCCAGCGGTGGAATGGGGCACCTAAATGTCCAGTACAAATTTCTCGCATCTTTCCATTTTACTTTGACCAGCACCCAACACAGTGAATATTCCAGAATCAGATGTTGATGTTTTTTAAGTGAATAAATGTCCAAGGAAGAGAATGGCTCTGGCGAATCCCATAGTTTGGAGGGGGAAGATGCTTTTAATGACCTTAAGCAGACTGCACTGTTCTTGGACAGAGGAGAGAGACTGTGAACCCTTTTAAGAAACAATGACAACCCTATGTGGCAAGTGGGAGGAAAGAGGGGGCTTGTTTGTCAGCAAAAGCAGACGGGAACACTGAGGCAAATAATACATAGGCCCTGGTTTGTCTTGTCACTGGAGAACACTGACATAGCTAATACAGGATGTAAGTGTCCCAACCTGATAAGACGGAAGTAGAAATGGGAGTGTGAAGATGAGTTCTCAGACTCCAGGTCTGCAGTCTGAGTCCTGGGTGTTGTTACACCTTGACTCAAGGTCTCTGAGCTCATGGGCACCATACAAAGAGGCAGTGGAGGATGCCGGCCCAGGACCACACACACTCCCTTTGATCAAAAACTCTGCCCATTGCTCAGGTCAACTCAACTCTTCATCTTTCACAAGCTCAAGGTACACACTGAGCTCTCCATGCCTTTCTTCTCCTCCAAGGCCTTTGCCCTGGCTGTTCCCTGCGTGAGGAACTTTTTCCCCAGACTTGCATGTGCTGCCCCCTTGTGTTATTTAAATTCCTGTTCAAATATCTCCTTGGTAGCTACTTTGCACCACCATGCTATGTGCAAGATACAATCCCACTGGAGTCCTCGTTCTCATTTCTTGTGCCTTGCTTGTTTTTCTTCATAATCCCTATTGTCAGTCTCTGCACCACAGGATCCAGGCTCTATGATGGCAGAGATTTCATCTTTTCTTTCACAGTGGTGCTCTATGCCCAGAGCAGTGCTTGATGCATGGTGGCATGCTTGATATGTCTGTGTCTTTCACCTCTTGTCTCCCCAGCAGAGCTCCTCAAGGGCATGGCCTCTTCTATTTGGACTGCCTCTCTGTTACCCCATTTATAAGGGGAGGATTACTGTCCTGTGGCTATGGGAGTGATCAAGCATACTACACTGGAGAGACGAGCAGTTCATTAATCATGTATGACATGTGATGAAAACATAAGGTGAATATTTACAAGTGTAAGATATTTTACAGTTCACCTCCTCAAAATCCTCTGTCTTGCTTCTAGCACATTTATCTGATCATTCTTGCCACTCTAAAGCTGTTCTGGAAGTCCTCTTTTATACCTTTAGTTGCACTGTCCTGGCTGCCTTGATGTCCTGAATCAACCCAAAACATTTCTCTTTCAGAGTCATCTTGACTTTGGAGAAGAGACAGAGCTACATGATTCCAGATCCGGTGACTAAGGTAGATAAGGACACACCATAATGTTTTTATGAGCCTGTCTTTCCCTTGGATGACACTTCACAACAGCATTCACAGTCTTTTAACCACACCTCATAATGTCGCTCATGAAAGAGGACTTTCAGAACTGCTTCAGAAAGTGGAAAGAATAATGTGATAAGTGTCTTGAAGTACAGGGGATATGCTAATGCCCCTGTGTCTTTTACTGTAATAAATAATTTTCTTTTAAACATTCACCTTATGGTTATATACCATCCTGTGTACTCACAGAGTGGGGGCAGGGAGAGGCCATCACACACTTCACAGGACAACAGGAGGGGTGCACTTAGGAGCACAGGGATGTGCATGGGCTATGAAAGATGGGCTTTGCAGCATCAAAAGGTGGGGTGACCCTTCAGTCCCACAGGGAAATGGGATTAGCTGGTTGGAATAACTCCAAGGGCTGGCAGGGACTCAAGGATAATCAGGAACTGTGCCTGGTGCCCTTGACAAGGAGGGTTGTTTGGTGAGAGACCTTCTCCTTGAGAGCAGAATGGGCAGAAGAACTTTCAGTTAGGCCATTCACAGCCCTCTTGACCTCACCAGACGCCAAGGCAGCACATAACTTTAGGCCTTATACTGCTGCTCCTCTGTAGTCTATGGGCTCAGACTGGCATCCGTGACCTGTCTTGGAGGAACCAGGATCTCTCTCTGTTCAGTACAGGTTTGTCTTCTACTTCTAATTTGTCATGTTGCCTAATATATCAGTCAGCTTTCCCATCCCTGAGACAAAACTCCCAACAGCCACAACTTAAAGGAGAAGAGGTTTACTTTGCTCAAGGTTCAGGGAATTCAGTTCATGGTTGGTTCATTCCAAGGCAGAAATACCATGGCAGAAAGGCACAGTGGAGGAAAGTTGCTCATGTCAGAGCAGCCGGGAGGCAGAGAGGGGAACAGCCAGATAGAAAGTTCACACCCCACCTCCTAACAGCACGTTCACCTGTGAACTCATCAAGGGATTAATCACTGACGGCTAAAGCTCTTCCATGATGCAATCACCTTCCAACGTCCCACCTCTAAACATATGAGAATCTGGGGGGACATTCTAGATTTAAATCATCACCTGAGCTCATCGCCATGTAACTGCTCTAACAATTCCAGCCTATGGAGTCCTGTCTCCTTGGGGGAGTGGCTCGGCCCATCTGCATCCCTAGCCTGCCTTCCTGCCTTCTATTCTAGCCTCCTGGATGTGGTCCTAGTCTCTTCTGTCTGATTTAACCCTCGGACTTGTGGTTGACCCAGCAAGACAACTCCCAACAACCTCCTGAGAAACCCCACTCTCTTCTGAGAACTTCGGAGACCATGTTTCTGTGGAATCAGACTGGAGCTTGAGAGGGAAGAAATGAAACAGCCGTTGGTATTGTTCATGTCTACCCACATGCACCATCAGTTATGATTCCATTCTTGTAAGCCCAGTTCAGAGGGTCTTTACTTTTGACTCCCTAGATGTTCCCTGTGGGGAGCTGTGTGGCAGCCATGTCAGGGCCCCACCCACATCCCCTGCTGTGGCCCCACCTGGTTCTGTCAGAGGTCCCTTTTCATCACACAGACGCTGGGCTTTATAGCTGGCCTGCAAGTCATGGGCACCATTGGCTCAAGACCTACCTTTCTTCCTCCCCCTCCTTCATGAGGCTCAGACTTGTGCATAGTCCAACGTCTGCTCCTCAGTTTCCTTCACAGGCATTCTCCCTGTGAATGTCCTGCATGCCTAACTCCATTTTGGCATCTGCTTCTTGGAAGACCTGGACTGACATGGCTACTCCAGTGAGAAAGTCCTATGGCCCCAACGTCCCACGGCAGGTGAGGAGACCTGGGTGCTCCAGAAGGTCTAATCAGGAGTCAACTTCGCTTGCTGGGCCTTGGGAGGAGGGGACCTTGTATCACAGTCTTTAAAAGCAGGGCTTTCGGAGCTCAAACTCCAGCTCCACCCTTGAGTCGAACCCAACACAGATATGGGACCCTTGATGAGTCTTGTGGCCACTTTGTGCCTCAGTTCCTAATGTGGCAAAATGTGATTGTAGGAAATAATTGTGACAATGAGTTTCACGTGTTTAGATGGTGTGCATTTGGGACAAAGCAGGGGGAAGGGAAGGGCAGTGGTGGCTGGTCATACTTCGCATGCTGGTGGATAATGACATTCCCGTTCTAGTAGGAACATGTCCACACACATGAAAGGCTAGCAGTCAGTCCTCAGACTAGGAACCCTTAGAGCATCACACCCTTCAGTGCTTTCCTATTCCCAGTGCCCAGCAAACACGTGCAGACTTCAAGAGCAAAAGCACCACTCACGCAGAAAGACTTCTCTGCCATCATCCACCACCCACCAGGTCCCCCGAGGTCCTGCCACAGTCTCTCAACCGCACACTAGCACGCTAGACCTCTCATGCAGCCTTTTCAGATTTCAGGTTTTGTCTGAAATGTGGAGGCCGTAAGTTGGCAGCACAACGTCCACCTGGCCTCCTAGCTCCGCCCTCCGTACTCAAGTGCATCCAACAATTTCAGCTGCGGCCTCGGCCTGCCCGTGAGTTTCAGTGCTGATACAGGTGCCGGTGGGAACTTAGGGAGCTTATTTTCTATGCACATTTAAACTTCGATCATATTAGCACAAGGGGGAGATTTTTTAAATGATAAATTTTAAGCATCCTTGAGCTATACCTTTATAAGATTCTTTTATGATTTTCTAGAGACAAAGTGACATCTAAAAGGAACTCAACAAAAACCCATCTGACAGAGAGGAGGGTTCAGCCCCCTGATTGATTGTCAGTGCCCTCATACCCATCCTTCGTGAAAGGCGGGGAGAAGTCTTGCAAGAGGAAGCAAAGCTGTGTGATGTGGCACCCAAGTGGGGAGGTGCCACTCTGCTCTGGATCTGGAACTCCCCAAGGGGGGCCTAGATTCAGGTCCCGAGAGAGGAGGGCTCTGGTTAGATACCGTAACAAGGCCAGGTGGGGTTAATTAGCTGGGAGACCATTGCCAAAACCCACTCCATCTTCTCCTCCACCATCCAGCCTGCCTGCCTCCCTTGCCTGTCTCCCCTCTCGTCGTTTCCTGCCTGGAACTGAGCTTCAGTCAGTCTGTCAACTGCAAAGAGGATCCCAGCCTAACTAGGAACAGGAAAGTGGATAGCGCCAGGTGTGGTGGTGCATGCCTGTAATCCCAGCACTCGGGAGGCTGAGGTAGGAAGATTGTTGCAAGTTCAAGATCAGCCAGGGCTACAAAGTGAGCTCGAGGCCAGCCTGAACTGCATAGTGAAACCCTGTCTCAAAAAGACCAAAAAAGAAAAAAAAAGGAAAGTGGACAGGCCCATCTCTGACTGCTCAGTACCCAGGGAAGCCATGCCTGATTCTGCTGCTGCAGATGTTAAAACCCTGCAGCCAAGAGCAGACTGCCCCTAGAAGATTAGAGAACACGGTGCCCCTCCCTGTGAGGGCAACGTGCCTTCCCCAGTCTCTCACACCCCCACACCCTCAGTAGCTTCTCCTTCTGGACTTCAGGGTTCTCCAGTGTCCTGAGTCTCCCAGGCCCCCACAAGTGGTTAAGGCCCACCCTGTCATTTCCTCCTATGCTGTACTGATCCCCAAGCAGCATGGATCAGGCCCTGTTAATGTCCTCCTCCTCCTCTCCTCTCCTTTCTGGTGGAACGGGCTTGCCAAGGTCAAGGACTGTGCTTGGTTCACCTCTGTGTCCACAGCCATGAGCACAGCCCCTGGCCAAGGGACGTTGCAGAGGCCAGGAAGAATGGGCCTTTGGGCTGCATGTGATCCTGGGGGGGTGGGTGTCAGTGAGTGCCCAGGACCAAGAGTCCCCACGGTTGATGGCCTGAAGGATCTCTCTGCCTTTTGCCTTGACAAAGTCAGTGTGATCGCCATGGTTCCTCCAACAGGTAAGGCATGATTGCCTGTACAAGTGACAGGTTACCCCAGGAGTCTCCATGAAAATATTTTTAGAAAGGCAAATGGCGGGGCTGGGGATTTAGCTCAGCGGCAAAGCACCTGCCTGGCAAGCGCAAGGTCGTGAGTTCGGTTCCAGGTACCGAAGAAAAACAAAAACAAAAAAAAAACAAACAAAGAAAAAAGAAAGGCAAATGGCATCTAAACAAGGGCAACCTGAATTTTTAACACATTCACCATAGGCCTGGCTAGTAATTCCCTCTTGCACTCAGTTTCCCCTGGGCCAGCAACTTTCCCTGGAGGATCTGTGAGGATCTGTGAGGGTCTGTGAGGGTCTGTGAGCTGGAAATCCAGTCCAAGAAGTCAGCAGGCAGAAACAGGATTCCAGCCTGGCTGTGCTGGGAGCAGCACCTTGTGATCTCAGGTACATTGCAGCCGTGGTCCTCAGTTTCCCCTCTTGTGGGTCCCATGCATGTTGAGAACATCCCGGATGTTCTACCACATACACTCACCCTGTGGTGGACTTCAAGCTAGAGCTGAGTTGTTGGCTGTGTCGGTCATGGGCAGCTCATGAGCAGTGAGACTGGGCTGGGTGTCCTGCCTCCCCAGACAACATCTGTGACAAAAGCCTATGAAAATCCCAAGAAGTTGCCAGCTATAAGGTGACCCAAGGGCTGGAGTTCAGAATTCCAGAATTATATTCTGATTTCCACGTTGCCTGCAGCCCACCTCTCAGTCTCCAAAGAAACCTGACAGGAGCCAGACAGGGACGATCAGCCAGTATTTATTCAGGGAAGATGAATTATTAAAATGAGTGCTTAGTGCCAGGCATGATGGTGCATAACTGTAATCCTAGTTATTCAAGAGGCTGAGGCAAGAGGATCATGAGTTCAAGTCCAGGCTGGGCAAATTAGTGAGACCCTATCAGAGAAGGAGGGAGAGAGAGAGGATAGAAAAGAGAGAAATAGGAAGGAATAAGAGAAGGGGGGAGGGAGGAAGAAAAGAATGAAAGAAAGAGGAAAGAAAGAAAAAGGAAAGAAAGAAAGATATGTAGAAGAGAGAAACTAAGATGATTCTCAGGTACACTTTAGTCCAGCAGTTCTCAAAATAAAACATGAGCACTTCTGGGGTCCCCATAAATCTTTCAAGGAGTCACAAATAAATGAAGTATACGGAACTCCAGATCGACATAACCAAAATAAATCTACACCAAGGCGTATAATAATCAAGATTCCAGAAATTCAGCAGAACAAAATATTAAAAACAGCTAGAGAAAAGAAACATATCACCTAAAGGAAAGCCCATCAGAATCACAGCAGACGTCTCAACAAAAACCCTCAAATCAAGGAGAGCTGGGAGTGAGGGATTTCAAGACCTAAAGGAACACAATCTTCAACCCAGATTGATATAAACTATCTTTCATGAGGTAAATAAGATACTTCCATGACAAAGAACAACTGAAGAAATTTATGATTGCCAAACCAGTTCTACAGAATGCTCTGAAGAATATATCAGAAAGAGATAATGAAGACCACAAACTCATGAACCCAATAGAAAGAAGCTGCCAAGCAGGGCAAACAATTAAACAAAGGAGAAAGACAGGGAATAAACAGCAGGAAAATAACATGAAAAAGAAAAGCCAATACATATTAGTTACAACCATCAACATAAATGGTCTCAACTTACAATCAAAAGAAACAGACTGGTAGTATGGATCAAGAAGCAAGATCCAACAATAAGCTGCATTCAAGAAACACATTTAACCCAAAAAGAAATTCATAGACTAAAAATCAAAGGATGAAAAATAATACTCCATGCGATAGGAACCCATAAGAAAGCAGGAGTAGCTGGTCTAGTTGCAGACAATGCAAACTTTAAGCCAAAACTGATCAAAAGAGATAAAGAAGGTCACTCCATACTTATTAAGGGAAAACTTCAAGAAGAGATAACAATCATAAATATTTATGCACCAAACACAAGTTCACCCAACTCCATAAAACAAATATTAACAGACATGAACAAAATAAACTCTAACACAATTATAGTGATTAATACCCCACTCTCACAAATAGATCAACTAGACAAAAACTAAGCAAAGAAATATTAGAATTAAACCAGGCAAAAACTAGGCAAAGAAATATTAGAATTAAACCAAGTCTGTAAACAAACGGATTTGGTAGATGTCTACAGAATGTTTTACCCCCAAACATCAGAATATACATTCTTCTCAGCTGTGCATGTTATATTCTCCAAAATAGACCATATATAAGCTGACAAAATAAGTTTAAGTAAGTGTAGAGGAATTGAAATCATTCTATGCATACTAATTCACCATAGTGCAATGAAACTGGAAATCAATGACAAAGGAAATCACAAAAACTACCTAAACACATGGAAATTAAACTACACCCTTCTGAAAAACCAATGGGTCACAGAGGATATTAAAGACAAAATTAAATAGTATGTACAATTAAATGATAATGCCTATACAATATATGGAAACTTATGGGACAAAATGAAAGCAGCCCTATGAGGGAAATGTATAGTGATGAACTCACACATCAACAAAACTGAATGAGCTCAAGCAACCTAATGTTGAACCTCAAACTTCTAGAAAAAGAAGAGCAAGCCAAGCCCAAAGCCCATACAAGGGAAGAAACTATAAATATAAGAGCAGAAATTAAAGCAATAGAGACTAAGAAAGCAATATAAAGAATCGATGAAACAAAAAGTTTGTTCTGTGAAAAAAAATAAAATTGATAAACCATTAGCCAAACTCATGAAAAAGAGGGAAAAAAATATATAAATTCAAGCAATCAGGAATGAAAAAGGGAAAATCACAAAGGATCCCACAGAAATCCAGGAGATCATCAATACCTACTATGAAAACCAATATTATAATAAGATGGAAAACACAGAAGAAATGGACAGATTCCTAGACACAATCAAACTGCTAAAACTAAACCAAGAAGATATAAAAATTCTGAATAGCTTGATATCAGCCAATGAAATTGAAAATGCAATTAAAAATTTACCAACAAAGAAAAGCCCAAGCCTGACAGATTCACTGTTGAATTCTACAAGAAGTTCAGAGAAGAACGAATGCCACTAGTGCTGAAACTCTTTAAAGAAATTGAAAGGGAAGCAGTACTTCCAAAATCATTCCTGGAAGCAAGTACTACTCTGAATGCAAAATCAGAGAAGAACACAACCAAAAAAGAGAACTACAGGCCAATCTCCCTAATGAACATATATATAAAAATCCTTACTGAAATACTTGCAAACAGAATGCAGCCAATCATCTACAAGATTATACATGATTAGCAAGTAGGATTTATCCCAGGGATGCAGGGATGGTTCAACATACAGAAATCGATACATGTAATATACCATATTAACAGAACCAAAGACAAAAATCACATGATCATTGCAATAGATGCAAAACATTTGACAAAGTTCAACACCCATTCACAATAGAGACCCTATGGAAAGTTGGAAAAATGGCTTTTACTTCAATCTTATAAAAGCCATCTAAGACAAACCAACAGCTAACATCATACTAAATGGTCAAAAAGTGAAAGTTTTCATTCTAAAATCAGGAACAACACAAAGATGCCCACTATCACCCCTCCTGTTCAATATAGTTCTGGAAACATTAGCCAGATCAATTAGACAAGAGAAACAAATAAAAAGAATGACAGGAAAGGAAGAAGTTAAATTATCACTATTTGCAGATAACATGCTATTCTACATAGAGGATCCCAAAAGCTTATGTGAAAGGGAAAGAAAGTGCTCAAAAGGAAAAAAGCAACTGGGATGAGGGACAGGAGAAAAGAAAGAAAGAAGGGGGAAAATATACATATATATACACACACACACAAGATA